CAATAAATAAAGATTACTTTACTACAATAATTTTAGTATAGTAATCTTTATTTGTTTTTTGTTGGTGGGTGTTAATTATAGGTATAATAATATGTCGCAGAACAATAGAATCATTTATCAATCATTTCTGACTTAAATTTTTAAAAAAGAAACATTTAATTAACGAGTGTCCTTGTTCATAATCAAAGCAAGCATTTGGCAACATGCAATTTAATGTTAATAATGTACAAGTCCAACTCTGTGGACCTCAATGTCTACAAAAATTCGAGTATTATCACCGTCTTGCGGGGGTTCCGGCGGCACCGTGCCGCAGTGGGGAGCATGGTGTTGTATCGGCAATGTTTGACGTATAGGAAGCGCAAATTTCTGGGATTACTATTTGCCTATTATGCGGTCGTGCAATGATTTGAGCGTTTAGAATTAAAGTTGTAAGGGGTGCGTGCTAAATTTAAATAAGTAATGTTTTGAAAATTTTACATTATATTATATATTTAACATGTGAGACCCGGCCTCAGTTGCTTTATACGACGAGCCGCCATTGTTACACGGATGTCCACTCTCTGACACACTTCTGCCGATACCCGCCGCAATATACCGAACTAAAATGTTTGAACGGATCAGTGTTGCCAGGTGAAGTAAAAGAAAAAGTGGTACCAAGTTTTCAATTTAATGATATTAGTGGTACAGACAAGTTATCTATTTAATGGTATTTAATGGTAACATTTTGTTCTTAAATATCCAAATTTTCCATTTAAATCTTAACTTACCAATAGCCCAGTCAGTTTTCTTGATCGTTTATTATTTATTATTTTTAAGTTCTGTGACAGAACCAGGCGCGGATCCAGGATTTTGTCTAGGAGGGTCAATTTTTGTTAGATATTCCAGAAAATTTGTTCTAAACAAAAAGTTTAATAACATTTTAGTTTGTTTTCCATGTAATACTTGCAATTAAATACTGATCTTATTGTCTGTCTTACAAAAATGAAATAAAGATACATAGGTATAGAGAAAGAAAAAAACAAAAACAAAATTTTATTCAAAATTAAGTGCCCCCCCCTGTATCCGCGCTTTGACAAAACACCTACTAGAATAATCATAGAGGTTTTGTATAGGCACATTATTCAGAAATTCAGGAAATTACTGAACAACATTTATCGGTTGCGCCGCGAAAGTTACGCGCTTCTCTCGTTCGATATCACAAACATTTAAAATATGGCGCAGGAAAATGTAATTTGTCTTGCCTACCAATGAGGCGTAGTGTGTATAGGTAGGCAAGACAAATTTTGGTACCATAATGTTGGCAGCAAATTTACTAAATTAGCATTATATTATACGAAAACAATTCCGTCTAAAAATGGTATAAATACCATTATAATGGTACGCCTGGCAACGCTGGAACGGGGTATATACAGGGCCGTCTTAAGATATTCAGCGCCTGTGGGCTACTAAAATAATTCGCTCTTCTTTATAGGAGTTAGTGGAAAGGGTTATACAAGTTATACAAAAATATCAGAACTAGAAAAAGTTCATTTAATTTCGTATACTATTTTCTGTTTCATTTAGAACAGGTTATTCTTTTTTTTTTCTTGAAAAGATTTTAAATAAAAATAGTAGTATATAATATTAACAAAAATTTAACCCATTTTGCCCTGTGGTTAGGGTGGCCCTGGGTATATATATATATAGCATATGGGAAATTCCACGTGAATTCGACACGAAAAAAACCCTTGCCATTTCGAAATTCCTTATCAATTTTTCCATGGGTTCCCTGACTTAAAATAAAAATTCAATTTTAATTTTAGCACGGTTTGCCAATTGTTTTTGGAGATATGATTTTTTTAATTTTCATGATTATAACGATTTTGCCAATATGTCATCGATCATAACTTTGGTTCCAATTGCACAGTGTCCCTTAACTAAAAATGGGTCACATGAAAATGAGACCCAAAAACGACTTCAGATTCCATTAGGTACTCGAGTAAGGATTTTTAATATGCAACAAATAAAATCCTAGCTGATCCTTCCCTTCCTCTTTATACAATTATACTTGTTGCATTTCTTTATTGGAAAAAAAGTGTAAAACGCAGCACAAATTTTATAAACTTACAAATTTATTGAAAATAAACAAAAAACACAATTAAAAGTTATCAAAAAAATATTATATAACTTATATAACAAATTATTTAAGATTATATTAAAGTTGTCGAGGCGAAAATTCAACAACTGCCTTTTTTAGCTGGAATCCGTAGCTAAGGACATCTATTAGGTTTATTTTATGTCGACTCCAATATTTTAAAAACTTCTTATGAATAGACTCCCCCGGTTGTTCAGACCAAAACCCTAGCCCAGTACTACCAAGAAAGTATAAGGAGTGTTGAATGTGCTCCAGAAGAACGTGTGTTTTTATGGTTTCAGAAACACCCGTTGCTTTATAAATAATCTTTAAATGTTTAATATGTTTATCCAACTCTTTCCTAACCTTTCTGGTAGAAAAGCAGTCCTCTACTACTTTGTTCATAGCTTTGAAGGCAGAAACAAAAGGAACTATCTGAATGGGACTTATATCACCAAGAACGTCAAGTTTAAGAAGTTTGTCAGATTCTTTGAAAATTTTTATGCAAGCATTTCCTTCAAATATATTGCCCTGATAATTTTTTGAAACCAACATAAGCTTCTTAGGCTAAATCAAGGCTCTTTCCTTACCTAGAATAGGAACTAAGCATGGGCGCCGGAAGGCGATATGATGATGATATTAACAATTTTAAAATGCACAATATTACGTTTAGTTAATTTTACTACACATTTAAATAGATTAAATATTTAGAACTAACCTTGTAGAATACACTAACAACACTTTTAACAATGATTTTAGAACAATAATTTACTTTTACAATTACAATGGTTCCTGAAAAGAAATACCCTGTATAAATTTATTAGAATGCTTGTTTATAAATATACTTCATTTTTCTAATATTAAAATAGGATTAAGTAATAAAACTTTATTTTTTAGGCAAGATAACTTTCAAATTTAGGTAGAAAAATTATCAAACAAACAAGAGAGGTATACTTGGAGCTTGAAAAAAGGGCACATCTGGCGTACAGATTGAGCGAGGAATTTCCACGAGAGGTAATCGAAGAAGGTTTTGAAAAAGGAGAAGTGAAGCAGAGGCGTTTTAAATTCGGTGCAGTACAGTTCGTTTTCTTTGGTAAAATTGTAAAAGTAAATTATTGTTCTAAAATCATTGTTAAAAGTGTTGTTAGTGTATTCTACAAGGTAAGTTCTCAATATTTAATCTATTTAAATGTGTAGTAAAATTAACTAAACGTAATATTGTGCATTTTTAAATTGTTAATATTATAATTATACCTATAATTATTGCTATTATGAGTATATTTATCCTTTACGATTACGTTTAGCTGTATTTTACGTTATTTTTAACCCTTTTCTTTTAGCTATTACCACCCCTATTCTCGCTTTTATTATTATCACTATAATTTTAATAATTTGCTATGCTCAATGCTTGTACCACTCGAATGTAACCTTGTATTTTGTTTGTGCTTAAACCATTATTTTGTACCCTTTTCTATAACGTGGTTAAGCATTGTTTTATGATCAGTCCAAAGTTATTAATGTATTGCGAAATTACTCGGTGCTTAACCAGGAGTGCTGACCGTTATTGTTCCAACTTTGAGTACTCTTTGTTTGTGTGCGTGGGCCTTTGTTGTATGAACTAATATTTTTCTCCCGTGAGGGGAAAAGGTTGCCCTAGGTTTTCTAGGGTTGCATCGCTTTTCCCCGACCCTTCAACTAAAATAGGCGGGTTGCCTCCCATATTGGGACCTCGTTACATTATGGGCCTAGCCCGGCTAACTAACCCCAATATTCTTCAGTTTTAAATCTTTGTTTAAATGCAGTATCGAGCCATATCGCCAATACATTAATTTGCGTAATTTTTAAAGTACAATGCCTGACCGCGTATTCCTTTGCTACTTCATAGCCGACCAGGGTTTTTTCTCAGGCTCTTTTTTCCTGGCCGAACCCTCCTAAGAGCCACCCCTTGCTTGTTTGTAAAAAGTTAACGTAAATTAAATTGGGGTAAATTAAGCCACTGTATTTTATTTCTTATAAACCTATTTCTCCCACGTATCATTCTTAAAGCAATGCATCTAATAAAACAAGTAAGTAAACACAGCGTAGAGGTCCAAATTTGGGTAAGACGATCACGAGCCAAAGCCACAAAATATTTAATTTATCAATTTTTCATAAAACTTGTCTTAACGAACCTGGGGGTAAAGAGAAATCTTTACAATAATAATATTTTATTTAAACAATTTTAATAGTTAAGAGGTCTAAATATAAAAAGATTAAATGAAAAAAATCATTTTTGATATTACAAAATGTCCGAAAGTGAAAAAAAATAAAAATTATTAAAATTAAAAATTCCGAAAAAAATATTAATTTTTCTATAGCCACGATGTAATATAGATAAAAAAAACTTGTAGTCGCTTAAAGAATAAAAACCAAAACAATTAAAATTAAAGAAAAATACAAACAGTGTAAAAAATGTATTTTTAGTTTTTGAAGAAAAAAATTATAGTGTGCCGATATGCCACAGCATCAAAAATATTTATTTCAAATACAAGACAAGAAAAATGATCGTTCGTCGGAATCGCTCAATTCGAACCAAAGTTATGATCGATGATATATTGGCAAAATCGTTATAATCATGAAAATTTAAAAAATCATATCTCCAAAAAAAAATTATAACCTTGCTAAAATTTAAATTAAACTTTTATTTTGAGTCAGGGTATCCATGAAAAAATTGCCGATGAATTTTTAAATGGCAAGGGTGTTTTTTCGTGTCGAATTCACGTGGAATTATGTTACAGCAATTTTTCAGTGTACTCTAGAGTACATAGGGACGGCCTTGAAAATGTAGAAGGTGAAAACAAACCTTAGTCAACATATTTTTTTCAGAACGCAGCTAACTTCACTTGTGTATAAAATCAGCTGTTTTCCAGAAATTTTAGTTTTTTTTTTACTTTACAAGTGAAATCCTTTTTCTATGAGTGAAATACTGTCAATTTTGACTGAACAGTGCGTTTAATTAAATTATTGTATGACTAAAAATGGCTGAAGCAGCTACAGTAAGAAAGAATGGTAAAAATATATTTTTTTTGTTAATAATGTTTACTTTTAGAATACTAATATTAAACACGATTGGTATCAAACAGACACTAGTGTTGTTATTACGGTTTTGTTAAAAAACGTTAATGAAGAAGATTTAATAATTAAATATGACAGTAAGAAGGTTACAGTTGATGTTAAAGCTTTTAATGTTGAAAATGACAATTTAACATTTAATTTGTTACATGAAATTGTACCAGAGCAGTGTGGTTGCAAAATAACTCCTTCAAAGGTAATTTTAACCATTAATTTAAAAACAATTAAAAATGTTGGTTTTAGTTTGAAATTAAGTTAAAAAAACTTGATGGTTTGCGTTGGGATAAACTTGAAGGAAAAGTTGATAAAGAAATCAAGGCCATACCACAAGGTTAGTTAAAAAATATTAAGAATCATTAATTATTTTTACTTCTTAAATTACTTAACTTACTAATTCATAATGGGTCAAAAAGTTAAGGAGCACTTAAAAGTGGATTTTAATTAAAATTATAATGAATATTTTAAAGATTTTGATCATATGCTCCAATTCTCATTGGCAATGGCAAGGCACATACTTGACTTGGGCAAGATTTTTTGTGTCAATTCATACTGCTGTGCTAAGCGTGTAGCCCTGTATCTGCAATATTCAGTATTAAAGGACAAAAGATCATGTTTATTGTTTTTAACAATGAAAATTATCTTTTGTACTTTATAACTTAATATTGTACATACTGGGGTTTGCCTTAGCAGGGCAGCATACTGGGACAGGCTTTCTTCACTTTAATAGTATCTAGCTTTGTAAAAAGTGATGTTCTTTAATTCCACGTTAATAAAAATGTCCAATATTGGACAAAAAAGCAAGAAAATGTAAACAAATATTGCAGTAAGAAAAAATACGTTTTTTAGTGTATAAGTGCATAAAACCCAATAGTATGGCGCGCTGTTTGATTTTTTATGCATGAATTATTTATTTCTCCATTGAATTTCACATATCTCTAAATCAATTTCAGATATGTAAAATTAATTTCAGATATGTAAAATTAATTTCAGATATCTCAAATTAAAGTTGCAAATGTAATATTTATTTATAAATAAAAGTTACCAAGTCATAAATTTAATTCATTGCATTAAAAATATCATAATTGCATTAAAAATATCATAGGACAAATTAAAAAATGCAGTAAATTTTAATGTTGAAGTCACAATCCACACAACAAGGTATGTTCGATCTCATACTAAAAATACTAAAAATCACTGCAACACTGCACATCATACAATGGCGGCCATTTTTGTTGTTTACAATTCTTGTGCTGGTTTGTACAGATTAACAATCGTTTTAAACGTGTTTCTTACAGAGAGACTTGCAAGTCTTAAAAGAGACCTCAAAGTGGTAAGAACAATCATTTTACTCCTCTTTTGTAAAAAATAAACTAAATTCTATCAGGGCTGTAAAATGTCAATTTAAAGGTTAATTTGTGGGTTATATCATGGGATAAATTTATAATTCGAATTAGCAACATCATAGGAGTAGTATATAATTCAAATTAAAAATAGTATGGTAGAAATTCTTAAACTAATTAAAAATATAATTAATTCGAATTAAAAATATCTACTATGTTATTTTTAATTTGAACTAAATATATCTCATATGACATTTTTAATTCATTTAACAATTTCTCCTATGATATTTTTTACTAGAATTACAAATATTTTCTATGATATTTTTAATTTAAAATAAAAATATGTCCTATGATATTTTTAATTCGAATTTAAAATATCTCACAAGACATTTTTAATTTCAATTATTAATTTCTCCTTGATGTGATATTTTTTACTAGAATTACAAATATCTTCTATGATATTTTTAATTTATTTAAAAAATTCTGCCATGATATTATTAATTCGAATTATAAATTTCTGCTATGATATTTTTAATTCATTTAAAAATTTCTTTCTTGATAATTCTAATTCGAATAATATTTTTTTTAAAGAAATTTTTAACTCCAATTATAAATTTGTCCTATGATATTTTTTATTCAACGACTTAAAAATATCACTTTAACATTACGATTTATTAATTTGTGCTATGATATTTTTAATGCAATAAATTCAAGTTTTTATTCGATATTTTTAAATTATTTAAAGATATGTGAAATGGAGAAAAAAATAATTAGTGAATAAAAAATCAAACGGCGCGCCATACTATTGCAGATTGACTTCCAATCAGTGCCTTGCCTGGCTGAGCACGTGCCCTGCATGTAAGAGAGAATTGCCTTGCCTTTGCTAATCCGGTTCCTTGCATGTCTAATGAGAATTTACCCTTATTTTTGTCTAAAAAAACATTGCAGTGTTTTAAGAAATCTTATGGATTATGATTTTGTTTACATACATCTAATAAAATGCATATATCAATATATCAATTGGTGTAAAAAAATTATATATCTTTAAATGTTGGTAGATGTAAAGTTATTAATTTTCACAGAGTGGGAAATCCTTTTAATTACCCATATTCAGTTTATAATATTTTATCAGAAAATGTTAAAATAGGTAACACTAGTTTACAAAATCGAAAAAAAAAATCCCCACCATATCCCATTATAATTTTCCCATGTATTTTGACCCACTAAACACGAAAATTACACGCAATTATTTTTATCGAAGCGGTTTTGAAATATGAATTTTTAATTGATTTTTTTTCAATTTTCGGAGGTGTTTATGGCAAAAATTGAGGTCAAAAATTTACATATCGTCCTGGGAAAGGTTTAAATCAAACAGATAACTCCAGTTTGATTTATTTTCGTGAAGCTGACATTTTTTACCAAAATTCAGCTTTTTGACGATTTTTATTTTATTTTTTCTTTTATTTTGTAATATGTTTATTCTTTAATAAAAACCTAAATAAAGTGCATGAATTTTTTGAGTTTTTTACGTACTTTTTTTAGCGAAAACATTATTCAAAATTTAAAATTGACATGACTCCACAAACGTGACGTTTGAAACGTCAATTCTTTTGTTTCTCGTGTTGGCATAGTGATATTTTTTGATATTTCAACAAGGTATTTTTATCCTGGTGTTATTTAGATAATAAAAAGTGTAAAATGAGTAAAAGAAGTAGAGAGTTCGAGTGCGTAAATAACTCGCACAATCTGGGCGACGTACGTTATGAGCACGTAGAAAGTTTTCACCAGCAAATGAAGGCTATGGAGCGGCAGTATCACGGCTTCTGGGATGCAGCCATGGTGGGTGTTTACATTTGGTCCCTCATACGAGAAACGAAATACGAAAGCAACAAAAAACAAGCCAGAATTTTTTTAAACCTATACTTATTTCAACAAAATAAAACTTTTAATTTCTTCAATGTTCAATATTAAATTTTATATAATTAAATAAAATGAAGAAAAAAAGAAAACATTCTCGAAAAACTGAATTTTGGTCTTCTACTGAAAAATACATAACTTCGCCATTTATCCAGGGATTTTTATAAACAGCAGCTTATTTTTTTTCCTTTAAATATAATCTAATTTAAATAAATCAAACTAGAATGATCTTTTTGATTTCTATCTTTCCCAGAAAGAAATGAAAAATTTTGACCTCGATTTTTGTAAAAAAAAAGGACTTTTTCAACTTCATAAAATCGTCAGTATCGAACTACTGAGCCGATACCAAAACTATACAAGAGAAAGTTGTAGAGGGCTCAATTAATTTACCTTTGATTTAAGTGCTTGTTTGGTCAAATCGATCAATTAGAACTCGAAGTATACTCTAAAACGTCAAAACACCTTAGAAAATTAAAAACAATTCATATCTCGAAAACGCTTTCATGAAAAAAAATTGTGATTTTCGCGTTTAGTGAGCCAAACTACACAAGAAAATCATAGTGAGACATGATGGGCAAAATGGCTGAAAACTAGTGTAATCAAAGATTTAGGTGTTTACTTTGATATGAAAATAAGTTTTAGTGAACATATAGATATAACAACTAATGTATTTTGTGGTTACCAAATTACTGTAATCATATAAAGCATGTTTGCAATAGTATTTTATTAAATTACGGTAGCTTTTACTCACAATTTTGTATTATTAGCGATGCGACAAAAATTGCCGAGTAACGTGGAATTGCTACACCAAACCCCAGTAACGCTTAGCGTATATATAGAAGAGGTCATTACCAATACCATAATACCATTATAACAATACCATAGCATAAACCCAAAAGCACATGCATGAAAAATCCTGGAGTAATGAGAATGTATGGGGCAAAACACACCAAGTGTTCCCACTAAAAACTTAAGTTGTTTCCGATTTTGATGAAACTTTGCTAAATCATTGTCCCATCGGACTATTTTAATTAAGCAAAAGGGCAACGGAAAATACTGACGGGATGCAGATATACAGGGGCTTGACATTTTTCTTTTTCTTTTGTGAGAGTTTTTTGGTTGATAAAAAAATATAAATGACTTTTTTAAATCGACAAATAATATATCCTATACCTTTTTTTCGTGCTTTAAGGTGGAGGTGGTTTCAAAAGCGAAACAAAATTTTTTAGCTAAGATAAATTGATATAAAAAATATTTTTACTTTTTAAAAATAAGTAGTAAAAAAGCCTATTCTTTTCCCTAAATTTTGATATACATATATATATATATATATATATATATATATTATATATATATGTGCACGCCTATCTTATTCGGCTCCATACGTTCGAAGGAGACCTGGCCTCCACCAGAAGGAATAGGAATTTACGAGTTTTTTTTATAGAAATAAATTAATAAAGTCGTTCTTTATATGAGCAACCTGAGAGGGGAAAACTTTTCTTAAAAATAAAGAAAGAATTTTTATACACATTTTTGATAAGGCTTAAGGTGAAGTGGCCTCCACACAGTAGACAATCTTTTTGCCTCCTGTGAATATATTTCCAGAGGTGCCTCGGTTGAACTTGCCTCCAGCGACGTTGCCGCACTGACCCTCACATGTATTTATATTATTTTTCATTTTAAGCCTTTTTATGTATTTCGATGATTGCGTTTATCGGTTAATTGGACTCCTCCAAAATATATTTATTTCATTAAATGTATAAATACATTTATAATTTAACATTTAAGGTATGGATTGGTTTCTTTTATTAATTATTAATAAAAGAAACCACAGCCACACAAATTTTTTTTTTTGTTTTGATCTGGGGGTCTGACCATATTTCTTTTATGTTTTTGGGGTCGCTGAATCCGAATCCAAGGTCTATTTAACCCCATCACATCAGGATTTTGACATAACCTCAAAAAATCTATAATTTATACTATTAAACGCATATAACCCTAAACATTAAGTTGTTGTCTAAAAACCCAAGCTTCTAAACCCTATAAGCCTAAAACTCACTTAACTCCATAACCCCATGACCCACTTAACCCCATCATCTATTTAAACATATAATCCTTAGGATGAAATTGTGATCTGAAAACACAAGCTATTAAACCCAATAACCATTTTAACCCCATCCCATAAACCACTTAAACCCATAACCTTGTAACCCATTTAACCCCATCAACATCAATTCCAACAGTTCCGTATCTCAGACATTTAGCTTTGAAGAGACTAAAGTTATGCGGTTATTAAAATAACGTACATATTAAGTTAAATATCTGACAAACGTGGTTGATGTACATTGAGTTATGAGGTTAAATGGGTTATGGGGTTATGGAGTTATGTGAGTTATGAAGTTGTGATATTTAAGAGCTTGGATTTTTATATGAAAACCACATTCTCAGGGTTATATATAGTAATAGCTTATATGATGGGTTTTTTAAGGCTATGGCAAAATCCTGATGTAATGGGGTTAAATAGACCTCGGATTCGGATTCAGCGACCCCAAAAATATATAGAAAATATGGTCAGGCCCCCAGATCAAAACACAATTTTTTTTTTGTGTTTTGATCTGGGGGTCTGACCATATTTCTTTTATGTTTTTGGGGTCGCTGAATCCGAATCCAAGGTCTATTTAATCCCATCACATCAGGATTTTGACATAACCTCAAAAAATCTATAATTTAAGCTATTAAACGCATATAACCCTAAATATTAAGTTGTTGTCTAAAAACTCAAGCTCCTAAACACTATAAGCCTAAAACTCACTTAACCCCATCCCCATGACCCACTTAACCCCATCATCTATTTAAACATATAATCCTTAGGATGAAATTGTGATCTGAAAACCCAAGCTATTAAACCCAATAACCATTTTAACCCCATCCCATAAACCACTTAATCCCATAACCTTGTAACCCATTTAACCCCATCAACATCAATTCCAACAGTTACGTATGTCAGACATTTAGCTTTGAAGAGACTAAAGTTATTAAAATAACGTACATATTAAGTTAAATATCTGACAAACGTGGTTGATGTACATTGAGTTATGAGGTTAAATGGGTTATGGGGTTATGGAGTTATGTGAGTTATAAAGTTGTGATATTTAAGAGCTTGGATTTTTATATTAAAACCACATTCTCAGGGTTATATATAGTAATAGCTTACATGATGGGTTTTTTAAGGTTATGGCAAAATCCTGATGTGATGGGGTTAAATAGACCTCGGATTCGGATTCAGCGACCCCAAAAATATATAGAAAATATGGTCAGGCCCCCAGATCAGAACACAATTTTTTTTTGTGTGGCTGTGTAATGCATCTAAAGATGCCATTAAGTGGTAATTTGGATGTACACATTAAATTGACTTTTAAATATAAATTATATAATATATTTAGATATAAATGGTAGGTATATCTATAGATAATCGTTTTTGTTCTTTAAAAAGGGTTTTTAAACAATTTAAACAATTTTTTTTTCAATTATTGGTACATCGGTAGTTTATTATTTAAGTGTTAATTAATGTAAATTTTACACGATAAATAAACACCTAGTTTTTAGTGGGAACACTTGGCGTGTTTTGCCCCATATACTGAGGAATACCTATATCCACTGTCTAAAAATGAATTAGTCTAAAATGACTAATTACCACAGTTATTAGTGGCTTCTTTTTCACTTATACCGTGGTTAACCATGGGATACCATGGTATCCCCAACATTTAACAGCCAATTCTTATGTAAAATTGTCTCCTGAATCCGAAAATACCGTAAACAATTATGAAAGTAGAGCTTTTGACATTTTCGGATTCAGGAGACAATTTTACATAAAAATTAACTACTAAATGTTTGGGATGCAAATTGCTATTGACGAGAAATATTAGTGGCTGCTTTTTCTCAATGACAATTAGTCATTTTTGACTAATTCATTTTTAGAAAGCACAAAAAAGAATTTATGTCTTTAATTATCAACAATCGCGAATACACTCGACAAAAACATATTTTTAACTGAATTTTTATTTGGGCATAATAACGAATTTTCTGTATTTTTTGTATTCAAGCATCAGTTTCATTGACAAATGGCCCACCTGCCTACCCTACGTCTAAAGGTAAAGATTGGAATAAAATTGAGAAAGAAATAACACAAAAAGAAAAGGATGAAAAACCTGAGGGTGAGGAAGCCTTAAATAAACTTTTTCAGGAGATTTATGGCAAAGGTAGCGATGAAGTTAAAAAGGCGATGAACAAAAGTTATGTACGTAAAAAAACTATATTTAATATAAATTTTACATTTTTTTTTCAATAAATTTAGATGGAAAGTGGCGGTACAGTTTTAAGTACGAACTGGAATGAAATTGGTAAAGAAAAAGTCAAAATACAACCCCCTGATGGTATGGAGTTTAAAACATGGAATTAAAAGATTTTCTTTATAAATTTTTTTTTTTGTAATAGTGAATTAAAATATGAATAATTATAGTATAATTGCGTTTATTTTATTATCTTATCCTTTAAAAAGGCTTAGAATTAAAAAAACAACTACGTGACAGCAAGGTTATGTTTCAAATAAAATATGGTTATTTAACATTTTTCTGCGTCCATACTTTAATTCGTTTATTATATATTTCCTATCTGTACTATAATAAGATCCATTATGATCGGCAGTATTCTGTCAATATTAACTAATGCCGTGGACATCTGATTTAATTAATTAATTAAAAATTAATTTAAGTTACTGTTTACAATTTTCAAACTTTTATTAACAACTTAATTTTCATGTATCAGTTTGTCCGGTAAGCCTGACTTATAGATTGCCTTCCTTCCTTCCGTCCGTAGAAGATGAACAATATAAAAACTGTTTTGCTGTTTAAAGATTCCCGTACGGAAATCTATAAATGGCACTACGATTTTCGTATTAATTAATTAACAATTAATTGTTAATCTTTTATGGGAGGAAAGAAGGAAGGAAGGCAATTTATAAAGCAGCGTTTTTATTGGTCCAATTATAATTCGAAAATTATGACATTTCCTCGGTCCGTCAAGTTTCAACTGACGCACAGTGTTTCAATTCTCGAAAATATCGGCAAAACCTCAAAAATTGACATTTTTTTTTCAGGTAAATTTTGAGTTAGATAATAATATCTGTCTCCACCCTGTATTGAAAATTTTTTTCTTAAAAAATACGTATATTTTGTCTTGTACATCAGTTTAAACTTGACGCTTTCAGTTGAAGATAATTTACACGCGATCGCTGCAGAAAATTGTTTATTGTTTAAAAGTGAATAACTTGTGTTTGTTGTGTCCGATTGTTATCAGGGACCCGGACCGAAATGAAATATCGGTTCCGGTACGGTTTTGGTTCACCATATTTTCGTTTTAATGGTTCCGATTCCGGTTTCGGTTTCGTGGAGTTATAACGGTTCGGTTCTTTTCGGTTTTAAGCGGTTCCAGTGAGGCTATTTGTTTTACGTAATTTTAATCTATAACCTAATATGTTATATAATGTTATTAGAATGAAAGCAAATAAAGGTTTCGGTTCCGGTCTAACAGATTTTATCAAAAGCGAAAACGGTTCCGGTTCGGGTTTCGGTTCGGAAAAAAAAACCGGTTCCGTTCCGGTTTTCGGTTTTTTTCGGTTTCGGTCCGGGTCCCTGATTGTTATGCGGTTTGATGAAGGGTGTTCTTCAAGGTATGTTAAATTCAGATATGTATTTGTTTTTTGAAAATTTGCCGACAAGATCGGCCTATTAAAATCGCAAACTTTGAATCGAGCTTTTAGAACAATGGAGCTACAAAAATTGTAATGAATTGTAAGGCATCAGTTCAAGATCCGTTGAATAGCTTTGAATAGTTTTATCTATCAAGCCATCAATAAATTATCTGTCCCATACGATGGTTCTTAAGGGCCATCACTATGTTTTTTTTTAGAAAAATCAGGCAGTGCATGTTTTTAAGTTGCACTGTTAGATTTTAAGTCGCAGTGTCAGATTTTAAGTCGCACTGCCAGATTTTAAGTCGCACTGCCAGATTTTAAGTTGCACTGCCAGATTTTAAGTCGCAGTGCCAAATTTTAAGTCGCACTGCCAGATTTTAAGTTGCACTGCCAGATTTTAAGTCGCACTGCCAGATTTTAAGTCGCACTGCCCGATTTTAAGTTGCACTGCCAGATTTTAAGTCGCACTGTCAGATTTTAAGTCGCACTGCGAGATTTTAAGTTGCACTGCCAGATTTTAAGGCGCACTGTCAGATTTTAAGGCGCACTGCCAGATTTTAAGTCGCACTAAGAGATTTTAAGTCACAGTAGTTTCGAATGTAAATAATATAATAATTATAAAGTATGTATAACATACGATGGTTCTTAAGTACGATGGTTCTTAAGGGCCATCACTATGTTTTTTTTAGAAAAATCAGGCAGTGCATGTTTTTAAGTTGCACTGCCAGATTTTAAGTCGCAGTGCCAGATTTTAAGTCGCACTGCCAGATTTTAAGTCGCACTGCCAAATTTTAAGTCGCAGTGCCAGATTTTAAGTCGCACTGACAGATTTTAAGTTGCACTGCCAGATTTTAAGTTGCACGCTAGATTTTAAGTCGCACTGCGAGATTTTAAGTCGCACTGCCAGATTTTAAGTTGCACTGCCAGATTTTAAGTCGCACTGCCAGGTTTTAAGTCGAACTGTCAGATTTTAAGTTGCACTGCCAGATTTTAAGTCGCATTGCCAGATTTTAAGTCGCACTGCTGGATTTTAACTCGCACTGCCGGATTTTAAGTTGCATTGCCAGATTTTAAGTCGCACTGCCAGATATAAAGTCACATATGTCACATGAAACTACTGCAGAAGGTAAAGTTTGTTTAACTAACAAACTTTGTTAGTCGTGTGTGTTCTAAATGTTAAGGTGGTGGAGAATTTGTAGTTTTATTTTATTGTTTAACAATTTTCAGAAAATTTTGATAATGGTGTACATTTAACCGATATTTTAGTATTTGCTACTGGGGCAGATGCTATACCGCCATTAGGTTTTCCATTTGACGCCCAATTAACATTTCTTCAAGGTGATAGTAGATATCCAACAGCTAATACATGTGTCACTGAATAAAGGATTTCTACCTGTCATATGGATTATGATGACTTTAAAATATCTATGGATTTTGCATTCCTAAATTTAAAAACATTTGGGTTTGCATAAAGATTTGCCTCTTTTAGGAAGGAGAATTATTTTTTATTTTAAAACCCAATGTACTACCATCCACATCCCACTTTGACATTTCATTGATGAACGCAGCCTTTTGATTACAATTTTTTTAAAGTAAAATTGTATGTTTACGTTTGCATGTCAATGATATGCAAACGTTTAAAATACAATTTTACTTTAAAATTACGTTGAATATACAATGTCTTGTGAACAAAAGGCTGCGTTCCTCAATGAAATGTCAAAGTGGGCGATTTTGTTGTGGACGATAGTACTTAATTTCCTTTTATAAATAGGGAAAATCTTGAAATAGTGATAATTTACAAACATTTGCATTTGTTTGACAAGACATTTTTTATCACCGTTCTTTCAGATATAGGTAATTTATTTTTTTATTTGTAAACCAAAATATTTTTTTTTATTTCCATTATAGACATTTATTATAAAAAACATGTATATAATAAAAATGTATGCGTCTTAAATAATTGTTTTACTTTCAATCTACCTACCTACCTAAATAAATAAACAAATTATTATGTTATACATACTTTATAATTATTATATTATTTACATTCAAAACTACTGTGACTTAAAATCTCTTATTGCGACTTAAAATCTGGCAGTTGCCCTTAAAATCTGGCAGTGCAACTTAAAATCTCGCAGTGCGACTTAAAATCTGGCAGTGCGACTTAAAATCTGGCAGTGCAACTTAAAATCTGGCAGTGCGACTTAAAATCTGGCAGTGCGACTTAAAATCTGGCAGTGCAACTTAAAATCTCGCAGTGCGACTTAAAATCTGGCAGTGCGACTTAAAATCTGGCAGTGCAACTTAAAATCTGACAGTGCGACTTAAAATCTGGCAGTGCGACTTAAAATCTGGCAGTGCAACTTAAAATCTGGCAGTGCCACTTAAAATCTGGCAGTGCGACTTAAAATTTGGCAGTGCCACTTAAAATCTGGCAGTGCGACTTAAAATTTGGCACTGCCACTTAAAATCTGGCAGTGCAACTTAAAATCTGGCAGTGCGACTTAAAATCTGGCAGTGCGACTTAAAATTTGGCACTGCGACTTAAAATCTCGCACTGCCTGATTTTGCTAAAAAAAACATAGTGATGGCCCTTAAGAACCATCGTAGATTTGCCTCTTTTAGGAAGGAGAATTATTTTTTATTTTAAAACCAAATGTACTATCATCCACATCCCACTTTGACATTTCATTGATGAACGCAGCCTTTTGATTACAAGGCATTGTATAATCAACGTAATTTTTTTAAAGTAAAATTGTATGTTTACGTTTGCATGTCAATGATATGCAAACGTTAAAATACAATTTTACTTTAAAATAACGTTGAATATACAATGTCTTGTGAACAAAAGGCTGCGTTCCTCAATGAAATGACAAAGTGAGCGATTTTGTTGTGGACGATAGTACTTAATTTCCTTTTATAAATAGGGAAAATCTTGAAATAGTGATAAATTACAAACATTTGCATTTGCTTGACAAGACATTTTTTATCACCGTTCTTTCAGATATAGGTAATTTATTTTTTTATTTATAAACCAAAATATTTTTTTTATTTCCATTATAGACATTTATTATAAAAAACATCTATATAATAAAAATGTATGCGTCTTAAATAATTGTTTTACTTTCAATCTACCTACCTACCTAAATTAATTAACAAATTATTATGTTATACATACTTTATAATTATTATATTATTTACATTCGAAACTACTGTGACTTAAAATCTCTTAGTGCGACTTAAAATCTGGCAGTGCGCCTTAAAATCTGGCAGTGCGCCTTAAAATCTGACAGTGCAACTTAAAATCTCGCAGTGCGACTTAAAATCTGACAGTGCGACTTAAAATCTGGCAGTGCAACTTAAAATCTGGCAGTGCGACTTAAAATCTGGCAGTGCGACTTAAAATCTGGCAGTGCGACTTAAAATCTGGCAGTGCAACTTAAAATCTGGCAGTGCGACTTAAAATTTGGCACTGCGACTTAAAATCTGGCAGTGCAACTTAAAATCTGGCAGTGCGACTTAAAATCTGGCAGTGCGACTTAAAATCTGGCACTGTGACTTAAAATCTGATAGTCAACTTAAAAACATGCACTGCCTGATTTTTCTAAAAAAAAACATAGTGATGGCCCTTAAGAACCATCGTAATAACATAATAATTTGTTTATTTATTTAGGTAGGTAGGTAGATTGAAAGTAAAACAATTATTTAAGACGCATACATTTTTATTATACAGGGTGTCCGGAAATTAATGCACCATACTTT